GTGGAATCAGTCCAGGTTTCAGCATCCACCCCAGATTTAGATTCAGCGCAAAGCTTAAAGAATTTTAACCCACCTCTGAGATAACAAGGTGTAGAGCTGGATGAACACAGCAGGCTAAGCAGCATCAGAGGAGCAGGAAGGCTGACATTTCGGGCCTAGACCCTTCTTCAGAAAAAAAAAATCAAAGGGTATGAGGAGAAAGCCAGAACAGGGCGCTGATACAGATCATCAGCCATGATCACATTGAATGACAGACCAGACAAAGGGCTGAGTGGCCTACTTCCGTGCTTTTTTGTTTCTATGGACTAGTCATTGGAACCTTTTAATATGTATTGTGTTCATGATTTGTTTCCTTTGTTCTTCTGTTGAGATCGTAGTTTTTAAGTCATGTTTCACTAAAAACCCAGCTCTACACCTTGTTATCTCAGATTCTCCAGCATCTGCAGTTCCTACTATCTCTTTAACCCACCTCTGATCTTTTAGTGAAACATGACTTAAAAACTACGATCTCAACAGAAGAACAAAGGAAATAAATCATGAACACAAGACATATTAAAAGGTTCCAATGACTAGCCCATAGAAACAAAAAAGCGCAGAAGTAGGCCACTCAGCCCTTTGTGTCTGGTCTGTCATTCAATGTGATCATGGCTGATGATCTGTATCAGCGCCCTGTTCTGGCTTTCTCCTCATACCCTTTGATTTCTTTTCCTGTAAGAACTAGAGCTAACTCCTTTTTAAAAACATTTGATGTTGTGTGATTGAGGCCACACTAGTGAGGAAATTTCTCTTCATCTCAGTCCTAAATGGCTATCCCACATCCTTAAATTCTGACTCCCTGGCCATTTGAAGCATCCTTCCTTTATTTACCCTGTCTAGTCCTGTTAGAACATTACAGGTTTTTGTGAGATTTTCCCTCTCATTCTTCTAAACTCCAGCGAACAGAGTCCTAACTGATCCAGTCTCTCCTTGTATGTCAATCCTGCTATACCAGGAATCAGATGTGGTAAAGTTTTGTTGCACTCCCTCCATAACCTGAAGTGCGAAACTCAATTAGAACAATCCAGCCTAGCTGAAGCTGAGTGCTGGATAGATTTGATCTTTCTATAACGGTGACAGCGACTGTTGATAAACCTGTGTTAGTGAAAGGGAAGCAACAAAGGGCATAAGGGCCGGTTCAGCATCGATACAGAGAATGTGAATACATAAAGTCAATGGTTCATCATTGGCTAGGTAAGGAGAAATTCTCTACGATTCAAACAAATAAGAATTTTGTTGCCCCGTTGAAACAGATGGAGGAGATCCAAGATGCAAGGAGTCAGCACTGGGAGGGGAATGGAAGCTGTGCATAATGAATATTTGTAGTTCTAAAGAAGCTGCCTGCAGGGAGGTGGAATCATCAGAACAATGGACATGGTTTCAGCTGGAGCTCATGGTAACTGGCACAGCAGTGAGTGGTTTCAGACCCTGGCACAGGCTTTTGAGGCACCCACAGCCATGACAGATGGTTCACCAAACTGGTAGTCGTAGGGTTCTAGAGTTGCACGATAAAGACAGCATCAGCTCTCACAAAACCAACTTCTAAAGTCTCAGCAACAACATTGCAGCAGACCTCACTTTGTAGTTTGAGATCAGAAGTTTCTGTAACTCTGGTGAATACGTGGTTTCTTGGTGCAGAGGGGAGGCCTCTGAAGTTGACCTTAGCATCCTGTGGAGGGCTGGTGGGTAGTTTGATATGGTAGAAACTGACTGGCACGGTTCAATCAATTTGACGTCTCCTTTGGGGAAAGTTTTGACAATTTAATCCACACTATGAAAATATTCTGGCCTTTTCCAAAGGATTGCAACTTTGTACCGAGATGGCATAACCATGGATATTCAACAACATGTGCACTGTGTTGAAGAAACTTTGGTTGAGAGCAAAAATGATATTCATCTAGGTTTCTTGCTTGTTACGTGTTTCTCGTTTCAAACGTTATGGGTTACGAAGCTTTGACTACTTACCACCAACAGCTCACTGCCTCACTAAGAGCTGGCTGGCTCACAGTTTTGCCCAAGTGATGGCAGCACACACAATATGGGAGCAAAACCAGGAATCAGCCAGCTAACTATACCACAAGGATGTATTCCCCCTTCACTTATATCTCAACTAGAAACTACACAATGTAAAACAAGAGCTTATTAATGTTCAAGTGCAATGTAGAAATCGGTTACTTCTGGAAAGTGCAGCAGAGGATCACTGCTATTGACTACAAAGATGAACATATTGTTAATATAGAGTGAGAGAAAACACATCATAGACAAATGGGGTTAATATCCTTGCATGGTCACAGTTGACAGTACAAAGCACTTTTGCAAGACATGTGATTGCAAGTTAGACAATTATACAACTGTTTTCAAATGTAGCTCCAGTGACCTGATTAATTCTGACCAAGTGGGCACTTAATTGCTGATAGGTATTCTTCTACTGCTGCTGGTCAGGATGTCAAAGTCAGTCAGAGACCCAGGCCCCATTCCAAACAACAGTCAGAGGTGGGGATGTGTTATTGCAAAATCCCCAACCTTCCATCTGCTAGTCCACCTCTGCCTGGGCTGACCGAGATCCTGTTCCCCCCCCCTCCACCGAGAGCAATACTGTGCTTAGGTCAGATGGTGAATTTAAAGCCGAGATTCTGTTGAGTGCAGTAAGCTGGGCCAGTTTTTCACACACTGGGATGCTACAATGCTCTTTGCCAGTCTTGTACATTCTCACTATAGTTGTGGCTCAAGAGGGGAAAATAAGCTTTCTCCTTTGCATTTATTTGATGCTTTGCAAGGTGTTGCTGACGACAAACAGACTGCACCGCCAGAGGACAAGGACAGCAATCAGAATGAATGAGAGTACCAAGCAAGCAGACTCTCAGCGTGCAAGAAATACAAGCATTGTATTGTAGCATTAATATTCAGCTTGGAAACAAATGGCTTTGTCACCCCCTAATGGCACATCCACATCATAGCAGTCTTCAAAATAATGAACATTCTCCTCGCTCTAAATAACTTTGGCAGCAGGCAGTTGCTTATAAGTAACCCATGCTTGTTGATAAATAATTTGGAGTAGCAGGGCTATTGGACAGCAATACTGAGATTAACTTTTCTTCATCTCAAAGCTAATTTTTAAATTCAACATAAGACCATGGCATCTGTCCATTTAACTTGAGAGTTATTACATGTAGAAAGAAGTCAGTCGACTCAATCAGGGCTGTTTTAAATACAGAGTAACACAGAGAAGCAGAAGTAGTTAGTGAAAGGTATACATGCAGGACATTGCAAGTGAACATAGAATAAACCTGGAGATGTGCTGAATAGTTAAAGATGGGAAGGATTGAACCACCCAACTCTAGCAGCCAGCACAAAGCAGTACCTCTAGTCTTTTTAAGGTCCAGGGAAATCTCCTTAATGGCAAAGTCAGTGTGGAAAGGAGCAATCTGTTCCCGAAGGATCAAGAGATGCTTGATAAGGAAGAGTTGTCCATCTGTCTGAGTCTGAAATAGAAATGCAGAGAAGGGATCAATACTTTTCAACACAACGCACAAGAAAAATAAGCCAACCCATTTGTGCATTTTCTGCGGTTGGTCTAACAAAAGCAAATCTTACAATTGGGAGAATTATTACCTTAATGTTATGAAGAATCAGAAAAATATTTTAAAAACACAAACCACATCAGACAGCTCAAGAAAACATGTTCTGAGCTGAACAATGAACCAATTTGTTTATTTTTCTCCTACATTTAAGAGTGGTGATTTTCAGATAGAGAGGGGAAACACAAAGGAATGTCTCCAGACAGGGCCCAAGGGACTTGCAGACTGATTCAGCAGGGATAGTGCATTCACAAATGGAACTGCAGACTTAAAACACAAAGTTCCCTCTCCCTGTTCGGTGCTGGGCTGCTTCTGTAAATAGAAGATTTTATTTTTAATTAAGTTGTTTCACCCTGACTTTGTAAAATGGTTTAAATCTACGCTGCACTCGTAGGATGGTACTGTGGGAATGCTACACTATCAGAAGGTGTCATCTTTCCTGGTCAATATCAATCATTTGACTAAATGACATCACATTGCTGCTTGTGGGAGCTTACCGTGTGCAAATGGACTGCATGTTTCCTACTTTACAACAGTGACTGCACTGAAAAGCACTTAATTGGTTCTGAAATACTTTTAGACATCCTGAGGTCATGAAAGGCATGAATATAAACACAAGTCTTCTTTTTAAAAATTAAATAACTTTACAAAATTTATTAATACAAACTATTTTAAAAATGACAATCCTGACCATGGTTGAAACAAAGATCAAATTATGCCTTCATTTTCCATCTCAAACATCCCAGTGTATTATTTCACAGTTTGCTAATATCAGCTGGGACAGTGACAGTAATGCATTGATCGTTTTCAACGAGGGAGGGAAAAGCCTGCCAACTCCCGATCGTTATGCAGCCTCTGTAACCAGATAGTGAGCAGAATATGCTCAGGCACCTCATTACGCAAGCATGGAGTTGGGTCTTCAGGAGAGAGCAGGTCAGCAAGAAATTTAACAAGAGAAATGGGGAGGGAATGGGGGGGATGGAGGAAAAAAAGTAGAAAAACTGAACCTAATGCAAACAGCAAATAATTTGGAGATTTTCACTGACCTTGTTTTTAATGATCGAATCAGCAGCCCCAAGTAATGAGTGGATACAAGCAGACAAGGCTTCCTGCGACAGACCCTGAAACACTGCCCGCTGGAGCAAACACAGCACAGTTACAATACACACACACACACACACTCAATTCATCATCAGTACTACACACATTGTAAAGATCACTAAAGAAAGTAGCTCTTCAGAAATCACAATGAGCTGGACTCTGGACATTTTTAAAAAGCAGCTTTTTCTGGAAATAGGTCTGGCAACAGCCTTCATCTTTATTTATTCAACGCAGCACCAAGAAACTTTTTTTGGGGTGATCAATTGAAAGAAAGAACGAGATACAATGTTATTTTGGAATTTGAACCTTGTTGCCCCATCGTTTTGAGATGCATTGCTCTCAAAGACTAGGGCTAAGTTGTAATGTTTCAGTGCTAAGGTTCAACTTTCTAAATACATCACACTCAAGCCACAACATGATGTATAGCTGAGCGTGCCTCAGTGATGGTTACAACTCCACCACCCAAGGGCAGTACAATATTCTACAGAGGCACAGAATGTGTCTCACACCTCTCTCACTTTTTTTTTGATGCTCAGGTGCAAACTGCATGCAACAAACAGAATTTTGAGTTGGAGGATGAATCTTCCATTTTCCCCCAAATGGTCTGCTGTTCTGCACACAAGAACTGCTTGGGTTACTGGGATAATCACATCCTATGGAAAAATACAAAACAGCAAGCCAGCAGCTTTTCAATTATAGGAAGGTTCTGTGTGGCTCTGCAGAGCAATATTCCGAGGATTGGGAATATTACTGATTAATGTTGGTGGCCGTACACTTACAACAAACAGCAGCAACCTGTTGGCAATACAAGTTGCAATACAGAAACTGCGTAATGGGAGATTACCTTTACTGCTTCAAACCAGCACATGGGGAACATGCCTTCAGCTGTCTTGGGCCTATGTTCTGTAAATCCGCCCCAAATCTCTGTGTCCCTCTACCATTTCTTCCTTCCTTTAAGATCCAGACCCAGTCTGGCCCACGTGTGACTCCAGATTACAGTAAAGTAGTCAATTCTGAAATAACCTAGTTGTAGATAACCACTACAAAGTCTGATAAAAGAAATGAAACTGGGTGCACTATCCGACATTGACTAAGGAACCACAAACTATTACAACATTCAGAGCCCTGTCGATCCTGCACAATCCTCTTACTAACATGGATGCTTGTGCCAAAATTGAAATAGCAGTCTTAAACTAGTGAAGTCAGTTTGATATAGTCATACTCAGAATCATACCTGACAGACAATGTCCCAGACACTACTATCATCATCCCTGGGTATGTCCTGTCCATCAGCAGGACAAATCCAGCCAGATTAGTGGTACACTGGTGTACGGGAGGGAGTTGCTCCGAGAATATTGACTCTAAATCTCAAAGTCGTGCAGCATCAGGTTAAACATGGGCAAGGAATCCTGCTGCTGATTACCATGTACTGAGCTGCTCCCTGCTGCTCCATGTTAAACACCACTTGAGAGATGCACTGTGTGTAACAAGGACACAGACTGCAAAGACACTGAATGGACAACTTCATTGGCCATCACCAGGACTACTACTGACTGAGCTGGCTGAATTTTCAAAGACATGGCTAACAGACTAGGCTTTCAGTAAGTGAAGGAACCGACGAGAAAAATGTACTCGGCAACATCTTCACCAATTTATCCGCAGCAGATGCACCTATCCATGATATTATCAGGAGGAGTGACCACAGTACAGCTCTGCCTCACTGCATCATGCTGTATGGGGGAGCTGACCACAGGTAAACAGAACAGAAGGGCTCCACGTAAACGCTTCAAGGACTCCCTAAATAAATCTCTCTGCATGCCCTTGTCAGTGGAAAGTGCAGGCTGTAGATCATGCTAAATCAGGAGTGCTGCAAAGACTTTTAAGGCTGTGTGAGGAGCCAGCATGTCAAAGAAATGGAGCAGAACGATGCTCCGAGTTGTTTCCAGCACTGACTACACCTTCACTTGTACCAGCGTGGGAGAAGTAGCCAGTCGCAGTAGGCCTGACTAACCAGTGAGCCTGCAACCAATGCATACATGCTTCCTAAATTCTTTATCCACAAGGAACTGTCAAGAGCACAACAGCAGGTCAGAGGATGGGAAATTCTGTAGCGAGTAACTCACTTCCTGACTCCCCAAAGCCTGCCCACCAACAACAAGGCACAAGTCAGGAGACTTGGACATATATAGTAGTTCCTTCACCGTTAGGTCAAAATCCTGCAATATACACCGACAACACTGTGGGTGCATCTACAGTCTAAAGACGGCAGTGGTACAAGACATTTAAAGACGAGTACTAAATTCTAGGCTGCAACACCCACATCTATGTCTGACTGAAAAAAAGACACTCCTTGAAAGTAATCTGTTTAACAAACTTTTTGGTCATCAATTCTAATAATCTTTATGTGACTGAGTCACAAGCTTAGCTCTTTAATGATCCTGTGCAATGCCTTGGGTTATTTAACTACGTTAAAAAGTTTATGTAAATGCAATTTGCTGTAGAGATAGTGGTAAGACTGGAATGAACAAGAGGCAATGTGCTGTTTTTAAATGGAGCTTCCAGACACTGTTTACAAAAATAAAAACCGAAAGAACTGCTGATGCTGTAAATCAGGAACAAAAACAAAGTTGCTGGAAAAGCTCAGCAGGTCTGGCAGCATCTGTGAAGGAAAAAACAGAGTTAATGTTTCGGGTCCAGTGAAGAATGGTCACTGGACCGGAAATATTAACACTGTTTACAAAAAGCTGCATTTTATTCCTTAACTCTGCTTGGAAAGTGGGAATGGTGAGTTTGCAGGTCCTAAAAGTTGGACATTTGGCAGGTATCTTTAAGGATTTGTAGGGAACAAATTCAAGTTACAAATTACACTGAATTGACAGAAATAGACCATTTGGCCCTACTGGTCGATGCTTGTGCATATGATCTGCATCTAACCTTCATCTCTCCTCACTAGCACAATTGTTTGCAGCACATATCCACATAATACAGAAGAGAATTTTAGCTCAACGTGGAAGGAACAGGAGTTCACATTATGTGAACCTTCATATAACTGAAAAACAAGGGGAAAACATTGGCCTCTACCTCCCAATGTACATTCTTACTGAAACCAGCAAATATGAGGTGGAAAGAGCTACAGGGAAAAGCAGGGGAAGCAAGAAGTGAATTGCTCAGAGGGCTAGCATTGACAAGATGGGCTAAATGGCACTCCCCTGTGCTATAATCATTCCACGAGGGAGAAGAATTTCTTTAGCCAACAGTAGCAACAAGCTCAGCTTTCATTCTGAAACTTACATCTATGCATCTGTAAAGCTTTGAGAGACAGACCAGCGTTCTGCGCACTGTCGGGTACCACATTCCGTGCAAATCCGCAGGGGAAATTGTTGATTGTGGCCGAGGATTCAGAACTTCTGTGTTACCTGTGCAAAATGAAACAACTTTAATAAACTGAACCGAACACCATAATACAACAATTGACCAGAATTAAACACTAAGGAGGCAACTGAGACGCCATGCAACCAGCAGACACTAGGGATGGTCAGTTAAAATGTTCCCAGTTACTTATATTCCATCCTGTCACTTCTCGAGCCAAGGAAACTTGTCCAAGATCAACAGGGTCTTTCCTGAATTATGCACGTGACCTAATTACATCAGCAAGGCTGGACTGCAATTTTAACTAAAGGCTGAGTCCGAGAGAATTTGGGGGCAGAGGGGTCGCAGATACTGCTGCTGTGACTTTCCTGTCAAAGCAAATCTGGAAGAGCATCAGACTTAGAAGAGGTGAACAATACAAAGTGTTTTTTTTTAACCCCCCCCTTTGTGGGGTCAGATATTACACCTTTGAAATGTGGAGATAGTTTAAAGGGGATTCGGTCAGCTGAATCTTGCAACGAAGGAAGTGACTTATCAAAAGTGGTTAAACAGGTTAGGCTCATTCTTTTGAAATATCAAGGAATTGAAGGCTGTGAGGAGCTGTCATGAAATGGGAGTAAGGTGTAAGGCAGATCAGCTTCAGTCTTCCAGAGTGGCAGAGCACATTTGAGAGGCTGAATGGCCTACACCTGCTCCTATTTCTTTCATTCTTAAAAGATTACAAGATCCCAGGCACTGCAGTGAACTCTTCAATCTTCCGTGGTCCAGATTCCTCTGCCACCCCAAACACAAAGATCCATATGACATAAAAATTCAGCTTATGATGGTAATCAGCTGCTTAATCGCTCAATTTATCACAGCTTTGCAGTGATATCTTTTCCACACAAGTTGGGAGGTGAACTGATCACTCGTTCATGAGACTTTAAATAGCTCAGACGTGATTTCTGTGGCACTGGAAGAGTTTCAAGGTCACTTCACCATCTACCCAAAACCCACCCCCAGTTAAAATCAGGCCTGGTAACACATGAATAAACAGATCTGAGCACTAAAACACATCAGTAAGTAGAAATCAAAGCACTTGAATTTATAGCCTTTTTCATGGTCTTAGGATTTCTTAAAATGCTTTGAAGGCAAATAAGTTCTTTTGAGGTGTAAGCCATCTAGTAATTAGGAAATGTGGTAGTCAATTTGCATACAGCAAGCACCCAAAAACACTGCAAAAATGACTAAACCATCACTTTAATACATCTCTGATAAAGAATGAACATTGGACGTAATGCCAAGCAGTATTACCCTGCAGTTCTCCAAAAAGTGTCCAGGAATATTTACTTCGAGTGAGGTGGTTCGGCTATTTCTCCCTCACCAGAAACTCACTCCTCAGACAGTGCAGTACGCACTTAGTGCTGCATCAGGCAGTTCCTAAACACAGTCACAAAATATGAGGCACTGGAAGAGTCAGCAAGGGTTGGCAAATGTTTGAAATAATGTTCAATTCATAAGTTAAGTGTTTTGAAGAGGTCACATGCATGTTGGATTGGGGAGTGCCAAATAGACTTCCAAAAGGCTCTTGATAAGGTTGTGCGAAGACAACGTCACCCAAACTAAAAGCAGATGGTACCTTTATTGGACAGATGATAATTAGTTGTAAAGTAGAATACAGAAAGTACAGAACAGGAAATGCTTTCTAAATTACGAGATACAGGATGTGTAGATGGGGGCAGAAGTCACATATGGAACACAGACAGACTAAGGGAGAAGGCTAGGTGGTGTTCAGAGTTTACAGTCATCCAATTCTAATCTGAGAATATCTTAAAATATAACACAAAACTTCTAGACCCACTCTGCTTTACAACTTTATTCACCTCACAATTCTAGTGCTTCGCTAATATTAAAGCTCTGCATTTCCAAAGTCACATGGACCTTCAGTAAGTATTACTACCGTCTTCAGGATTACTGTAGAGGGAGTAACAATGAGGATAATAGCTCTAAGTATCAGTGTGATGCCCTGTTGAATTGTACCTGATTTGATGACATTTTTAGAATCAGGATCTTCTAGTTGAACGTCTGCAAAAGACGAATCAGCCACAGGCAACTTTGTTTGTTCATCTTTCAGACTCTGTGCAATTTGCTGCAGAATAAATAACAAGTACCAAAAAAGAATCAACAGCATTTTCAATCAACAGGAGCACCTAAGATCATATCTAACTCATGAAAAGCACATTAACAACAGTTCGGTCACACTCCTTTAATTCAACTTCTTAGAATTAATTATTGCTAGGGAGGGGCCGAATAGGCTGGGACTATTCTCCTGGAGCATTGGAGGCTGAGGGGTGGCCTCATAGAGGTTTATAAAATCATGAGAGGCATGGATAAGGTAAATAGGCAAGGTCTTTTTCCCAGGGTGGAGGTGTCCTAAACTACAGGGCATAGGTTTAAGGTGAGAGGAGAAAGATTTAAAAGGGACCTAAGGGGCAACTTTTTCACAGAGGGTGGTACATGTATGGAATGAGCTGCCAGGGGAGGTGGTGGAGATGGGTACAATTACAACATTTAAAAGGCACCTGGACGGGTTAATGAATAGGAAGGGTTGAGAGGAATAGGGGCCAAATGCTGGCAAATGGGACTAGATTTATTTAGGAAGTCTGGTCAGCATGGATGAGTTGGACTGAAAGGTCTGTTTCTGTGCTGTATAACACTCAATGACTGCCCCAGCCCAACAACTGGTTTCCAAGATCTATGCAGTCTTCCAAATCAGGCTTCCTGTATATTCTCCCATTCTAATGAATCTTCCATTTCTGCCATGGTCTCAGTTGCTGAGACACCAAGCTCTGCTTTTCTAAAACCTTCCATTTTCTCTCCTGTGAAATGCACCTTAAAACCTACCTCTGTGACTAGTTGTGATCAGTTGCCTAATTTCTTGCTCAACTTGACGTTAAATTTTGTTTGATAATGCTCCTGTAAAGCACCCATTAAAAATGCTACGTAAAACAGTGGACCAACAATGAAGATTCAGTCACACATGGTCAAATCCTCATTGATGTTCACATGAGCAGAACAGATTGTATCGGCTATTCTGGTGGGGGCTTGGTTAGCTCAGTTGGTTGGACGGGTAGTTTGTGATGCAGAGTGACACGAACAGCATGGGTTCAGTTCCCACACTGACTGAGCTTGCCACGAAGGACTCTCCTTCTCAACCTCTCCCCTCACCTGAGGAGTGGTGACCCTCTGGTTAAATTCACCACCAATCACTTTCAGTCTAATGACAGCGTTGCCCTGTAGTCCTCTAGGACTATGGTGAGCTAGGTAATTCCTTGAGTACAGAATCTAATTGAGGTCCTTAAGATGATTGAAGGATTTAAATGGGTAGATTAAAAAAAAAGGAAAGCTTCAAAAGAAAAAGACTGATAATTTTTGTTGGGCAAACCTATTCAGGACTACATAACTAAGGCAGGTATACAGAGTTAGGATACAGATCAGCCACGATTTCACTGAGGGGCAGTGCAGGATTAAAATGAGGGAATAGCCTCCTCCCGTTTTATCTTCTAGTAAGGTATTACAATCTTTTTCAATTCTACCTTGGCCACTACTTCATTTAATCCTCTGTCCATATTAAATCTATAACCATTGTTTTTATTTAAAATCTACAGTCAGCTGAACTGAATATGCTTAAAGGGCTTCTTGCAAGCAGTTCAGACTTATGGGATCTTCTGGGGGCAGAAAAAAAGTTAAAAAAGCAGTTTATCCAAACACTATGTAAAAGCATTAGAATTGCTTGAAAGGAAGTCTTAGCCAATTGAGTGTACATAGGATCAGGGGGAAATATTTAAACGGGTGCAAAAATTTTTGGGGAGCAAAATTTGAGATGACCAAGTGTTAAGAGAGTTAAGTTAATAAAGTTAAGACAGGGACAAAACTGGGCAGCAGTGAAACTTGGTGGATATATTGGAGGCAGAAAATGGAGGAAGAAGAGAGTGTGAAATGAGGGGGGTATACGGAGTCTCAAATTGAATGACAAAATTCTAGGGTCAAATTTGCAGGGACAGTCTTATTTGGGAGGGGAGCGGAATTTGGCAATTTTGAACGGAAACAAAATTTTGGGTGTGAGGCAGGAAAAAAAAAGAGGCAGTGAGACAAGACACCAGGAGATGAAATAGAGAAAGAGATGGAGGGAAAGGAGATAGAGAGAGAAAGGTGGAGGGAAAGGAGAGGGAGAAAAAGATGGAAGGAAGGGAGAGACATAAAGATGAAGGGAAAGGAGAGAGAAATATGGAGGGAAAAGACAGGGAGGGAAAAGACAGAGAGAGAGAATGATGGGGGAGGGAACAAAAGAGAGAGGGGTAGGGGGCAAAGAGCGGTTGCTAGTGAGAGAGAGAGAATGAAACAAAATGATACAGAAGTTGACTGAGAGAGAGACAGGGACACAGGTGAGAGAAAGAGACAAAGAGTGACAAAGACAAAGAGTGAGAAAGACCAAAAGGGAGACAAGAGAAGAGACTTTGAGAGAAAGAGACAGAGACACAAAGGGAGAAGACAGAGAGAGAACGAAACAAAGAGAGACAAGAGTTCAGTGTGAGAGACAGAGACATAGGAGGGAAAGAGAGACCGAGAGAGAAAGAATGAGAAAGAGACAAAGAAAGAAAGTGACAGGGAGACAGAGAGAGAGAGAAAACAAAGAAAGACAAAAGGAGAGACTTAGAGAGAAAGACAGGGACACAAAGTGAGAAAACAGAGAGAAAGAGAGACAAGAGGAGGAGAAGTCAGTGAGAGACAGCCAGGAGTTCAGGAAAGGTACAGAGTGTGAACAGCCAATACTCACCAGGGCTGCTTCAGAAAGAGGGTGGTACAGGTCCAAAACTGGCATCGAGATTCCAGCTGTCCCACACTGTCTCTCACACGGCCACAGACAGCTAGAATAACTCTTGCTCACCTCCAGGCTTCATCCATATGAAGGAAGGAAGTATGGCTGCCAAGACCAGTTTTATAAACCCCAAGTTCTGTCATTCAAACCCCTCTCTCCTCCCAAATCCCAGCTACCCAGTCAGTTCCCAGCTGTCTCTACCTGGAACACACATCCTCCAGATATGGAGCAAACCAAGAAGCTTCTTTGTGAGGTTAGAGGCAGGGGGAGGGGGCATGGGAGGAGGAGGGGTGAGAGAAAACAGCAACCCAAAAGTTCAGTCCAATGTCTCCTGATGTTCCTCCCTTGCCCCCCGCCCACACACTCTCTCTCTCAAACTCACTCTCTCTCTCACACGCACATACAAATTGGCCCCAGACCTAAAATCCACACAGAGACAAAGCTGCAGTTTCAAACCAGCTATAAAACACTTTTATTCAGACAAGGGAACAGAACCTTCTGCAGCCAAGAACACAAATTTATCCCACAGGTGAGCACAGTATTTTCACACAGGCTAACACAAGGTGTGAGTGGGACTGTAGTTAACCAGTAAAGACAGGGAGTTTACTTTTAATTAGTTTCTGAGAATGAACGTCAATCCATTTCACAGATGAACATCAGGGGATTACATGGATCTGTTGTACGAGTGGAAGTTTATTCATTGTACAAATAATGAGTTTATTAAACACATTCACCTCTTTCCTGGCAATAGAGCGAGGGACATCACAGTACTGTCCCACTTTCCCATTGATATTTTGTCAGTAAAAGCTGGGAATTATCTGATTGACACAAACAGTATGGATTTGTGAGGGGTAGATCATGCCTCACAACCCTTATTGAATTCTTTGAAGAGGTGACCAAACACATAGATGAAGGTAGAGCAGTGGATGTGGTATACGTGGATTTTAAGTAAGGCTTTTGATAAGGTTCCCCATGGTAGGCTCATGCAGAAAGTAAGGAGGCATGGGATAGGGGAAATGTGGCAGATTGGATTCAGAATTGGCTGACCCTTAGAAGACAAAGGATGGTAGTGGATGGAAAATATTCAACATGGTGCTCAGTTACAAGTGGTGTAACCACAAGGATCTGTTCTGGGTCCTCTTCTATTTGTGATTTTCGTAAATGATTTGGATGTAGGAGTGGAAGGGTGGATTAGTAAGTTCGCGGACAATACGAACGTGGGTCGAGTTGTAGATAGTGCGGAGGGCTGTTCTAAGTTACAAAGCGACATTGATAGGATGCAGAGCTGGGCTGAGAAGTGACGATGGAGTTTAACCCTGAAAAGTGAGAGGTGATTCATTTTGGAAGGACAAACTTGAAACTTGAAAGAATACAGGGTTAACAGAAAGATTCTTGGCAGTGTGAAGGAGCAGTGGGATCTTGGAATTCATCTCCACAGTTCCCTGAAAGCTGCCACCCAGGTGGATAGAGTTGTTAAGAAGGCATATGGTGTGTTAGCTTTCATTAATAGAGGGATTGAATTCAAGAGCCGTGAGGTTATTCTCCAGCTATACAAAACCCTGGTTCGCCCACATCTGGAGGATTGTGTCCAGTTCTGGTTGCCTCATTACAGGAATGATGTGGAAGCGTTGGAAAAGGTGCAGAGCAGATTTACCAGGATGTTGCCCGGAATGAAGGGAAGGTCACATGAGGAAAGGTTGAGAGAGATAGGGCTTTTCTCTTTAGAACGACGAAGGATGAGAGGTGACTTGATAGAGGTGTACAAAATGATCAGAAGTATAGATATAGAGTGGACAGCCAGAGACTTTTTCCTAGGGTGGAGGTAGCTATTACGAGGGGGCATAGTTTTAAAGTGAGTGGAGGTAGATATAGGGGAGACGTCAGAGGTAGGTTCTTTACTCAGAGAGTGGTAGGGGCGTGGAATGCATTGCCGGAGAGGGTAGTGGAGTTGGCCTCATTAGGGGCATTTAGGCGGCTATTAGATAGGCATATGGATGATAGTATAAGGTAAGGGTGGAAGTTAGATAGACCTTAGGTTTAGGGTATAAAAGTTCGGCACAACATCGTGGGCCAAAGGGCCTGTGCTGTGCTGTACTGTATTGTTCTATGTTCCACTCTTGAGAACATACTAAAGGCTGCTAGATCAGTGCTGTGGTGAGGGACTGATATTGTTGGTGGTGCTGAATTTCCTCAGACACTAAACCATAAGAAGTCCTATATCTCTTCCCCTTGACATTCAATGGCATTATTCCTACCAAATAACACATTATCAACATCCTGGGGATTAACATTGTCCAGAAACTGAACCAAACCAGCCATATAAATGATGTTGCTATAACAGCACATCAGAGGCTAGGAATTCTGTACCAAGTGACTCACTTCTTGACTGCCCAGTGCCTGTCCACCACTTACACGGTACAAGTCAGGGGTTCTGACAGCATTGAACCTTTGCCCCCCCACCAGGCGCTCAAAGGCACTGTTTCACTGAATGCTGGAAGACTGGCTAAATAGGCTGCCTTTCAGTTGGAAGGCAGCTGCCTCTGTCATTTGGCACTGGTAAAGCACTGCCAGGTAGAGTTTCTGCATGCTCCTTATACCTTCGGAGGAGGCATTCTGACAAAAGGTTTTTTTTTTAATGCGCCCTGCACAGAGCAAAGTGCCCCAAAGACGGGGGAATCGGGGCAACATTTAGTGATGTCTTTCAGGATCCCAACTACTTGTTTACCAACAGACAGAGAAAACAGAGGATTTATGACAACAGCTTTGGTTATAATCCAGTATACGTACACTGCAAAGTCTACAGAGCCAGGTTAAATGCATAATAAATGGTTTTGTAATTAGGTAAGATTTACCCACCTCCATCATTTCCAGTTTGTCAGGGTATGCCAGATCTCCAGGTGCAGGCTTATAGCCCACAATATCCGTCTGAATGTAGATGTGTGTCCTATAGACTAGACGCTCTTGTACATCTTCCAGCATTTGTTTGGCCACTGCAGAAAAGGCACCCAGCTGCTCCACTGGAAGTGACAGAAACAGAACGTTAGCATTCTGGAATGGCCAACTGGATAAAAGAAAACAACTATTTTAAACAAAATCTTAGATTCGGAGATGCAACACCAACTAGTCAGAGGTATATTCCATACATATATAAAAAATATATATAACTATCTGCAATTTGCTTACATGACATGGTCCGGCTTCAGGAACACAGCTCAGCTTCTAAAGATCTCTGCACTTTGTACATACCATTGTTCTGCACATGATCCTCCAACATCTCATTTTTCAGAATTCCACACAGCTCCGACAAGGTCTCCAGGTGGTTGACGTGGATGATGAGTGGTCGAAACACATCATACCATGACAGGCACAGCTTCTCCAGCAGCTCACTGTAGAAGCAGAAAGAACCGGGACCAGTGTCACAAAATGATTCGTCAATTTCTTTCAAAAATAAAACAATGCAAAAATTGAAATCACCCTTAATGGATGGGCCAGCCCGGTGATCACAGACTGAGCCTGCCATTCCTATATGACATCTCAGCATTGTTACAGTGTGGGACAAAGCCATTCTTCCCATCATGTCTATACCAGCTCTCTGAGCATTATAATGTAGTACCAATCACCTGCTTTTTCCACATAACCCTCACACATTATTTAAGTAGAAACAATCTCCAATGCCCTCCAGCATCTTAACTGAACCTGCCTCCACCACACTTCCACTCCGTACTTTAACTACATTTTTCTCACCTCATCCTTGCTCCTTTAGCAAAACACTTTAAAGCTGTGCCCTCTGGTTCTTAACCTGGTTACCAATTTGGAACAGCTCGTCTCTATCCACTCTGACTGCACCCTTCACGATTTTGAAAACTTCTATTAATTCTCCTCCTAGCCGTCTTTTCTCCAAGGAAAACAGTCCCCATCTCTCCAATATTTCCCCGATTGAAGTGTTTCGTCACTAGAACCATTATCATAAACATCTGTTGCACTCTCTCCAATGCATTCACCTCCTTCCTATAGTGTGACTCCTACAACTGTACTATACCAGCTGAGGTTTAACCAGTGTCTTGTACAAATTCATCATAACTTCCCTGCTCTTGTACTCTATGCCTCTATATATGAAGCCAAGAATACTGTATGCTTTTATTAATTGTTCTTTCTACCTGTCCTGACACTTGTAATAATTTATGTACAGAGACACACAGGTCTTTCTGCTCCCGCACCATGTTTCTCCATGTTATTTATACCAAAGTACATCCTTCATACTTCTTTCAACTTCATCTGCCAACGTTCCACCCACCCCACAAACACGTCAATGTCCTTTTGAAGTTTGTATGTCCTTCTCAAGAGATTAAAATTCTAAGTTTTGAGACGTCCACAAACTTTGAAATTGTCACCTGTATGCCAAGATCTAGATCACATAGTTATTTGGCCCTGTGATCTTGCGCTGAAAGCAATTTCAAAAGAGATCATTAGCCTGATCCCTGTGAGACAAGTCAGCACTTGGTGAGAAAACAGGCTTGAAGGGTTCAGTTCAATGAAGAATACTTCAAGTGTTTAATTCATTTTATAGTGTTACCTTTACCCCCATGATTGCACACAGCAAGCCCCAATTAGATCCACCTTTAGATCATGTGATTTACTTTTATGCATTTAAAAAAACAACAGATTTGGTGCAGCACTGGGCATTTAGCAAATGCCTCTAACATTTGTTACCAAATAACGAAGCACCGCAATAAGAGCACTTTAATGAAGGACAATCAGCTGTTTGAAGACCTGACTTTGCGTGAAACCAGCAAAACATTTTAAAAATCAATTACAATACAGGGGATTAACGTGGTGCTAGTAACTTACTGAACCACCTAAATTAGTCAGCATGTTTTCAATACATGTTCAGCAACGCTTTTTATTTCTTTTCATTCATTCACTGAATGTGAGCATTTCGGGCCAACATTCACTGCCAATCCTAATTGCCCGGGGGCAGTTAACAGCCAGCCACATTGTTGTAGGTCTGAAGTCACATGTCAGTCAGACTAGATAGGACGGCAGTTTCTTTCCCTAAAGGACATTAGAACTGACTTACATAATGTCAAGAATAGTTGACACCATTTGTCCACAAAAGAAAAATAGGCTACTCTTCATAAGAAGTGTCGATGGCATAAATTGCAATGAACTATGAAGGAATTACAAAACTGAGTATACATTCTACAAATTGCAGTACATTACCTTATTAATCATCCCCAAGATATGAATCGTAAACCAGTGCATTACCTTAGATTCCAATTTGCTTTCAATCAAACAGACTCATTGAAATAATGCAAAGCTGTTAATCCTGCATATTTTAAGCAAAATGCATGGGTTTAAATTTAAAATTTAAATGCAACCCACATTGTACATGCCTATTCGGTTTGCAACTTAAAGCAGGTTATGTCTGAATTTTCTTTCATTGATTGGATCTACTGGAGGATCAAATGTCAGACTGTGAGAAAGAGGAGTAAATCATGCAGCTCATCTTTCTCCACCATTCACCTTGTAAATTTTATTTTGCACCTTTCCAGTGAACCTTTAGTCACAGGTTGTTCCCTCTGAACATTCATTGGATCCTATAAAAACACTTCAGCATTTTGAATTGTTGGTGCATATCCAATCATGCTAAAGCCATCCCTATAAGCACACTTTCAGCCACAAATGAGAACCTTCCTTCTACTTCCTAGGGTTTCCTCCATTTAAACACCAACCTTTCAGTAACACAGACTATGGTGAGGGTCAGACTAAAGCCTGAAACTGTGGCAGCTGCAAAAGAATTCCTCAAGTGGTGCTGGGCAGCTCATTGATAACATTAAGTCACTGTTAACACAGTTACTCGCACTCTGTCACTTTGATTGGTGAACCACAGAGTAGGAGATCAGAGTACCCAGGCCCTGAATGACAGCCCTATTGATTTACAATTCCTCTGAAGTTACGCTAGTATGTAAACATTCCTGCAGATATATTTTTTCTAGTTACTGTGCCTGGCTCTTCCCCTACTCTGTATACACAAAGCACAGAAACTGATAGAAAGACAGAAAGGAATGCAGCACACCTTTTTCAACTAATTCGGCATGAATACAAGGAATTGAAAAATTGTAACGATCAAGTGGATAACAAGACATCAACCCTGCCTCCAATAACTTACTCCAGTTTGGGAGTTGGCTTCGTAAAAAACTCATTGTATAGCCGATGTTCATCTTGACAAACACGAACCAGAAAAGCACAACCACTTCGAACCTGGAAGAGAATGCAAAAGCACGGCTTGTTTGAAAAAACTAACGTGACCTGCCATATCACACAGCTGCAGCTTAAGTTAAAACCAACTTAAATACTGCAAGTCCAAGAGAATTGTTTTTAAACTTTTCCTTCCTGAAGCATTTTGGAAACTTTTTCTATGCTTAACATGCTATGCAAAGTAAGCAGTACGTAAACCTACAAGCAAAAGTGAAATCAGAGATAAAAACAAAGTGCTGAAAAATTTCAGCAGGTCTGCTGGCACCTGTGGAGAGAATGACTCTTTTTACACAAGCAGATTCTCTCTTCATAGATGCTGCCAGAATTTCTCCAGCACTGTTTTCACTTAGTTTGACGAATACAGCTATAAAGTTATACAAGCATAGTGTGGTAACATATCACTGCAGTATTAAAAATACAAAGCTGTTGTCAACCTGGAGACTGAGATCAAGCAATTGTTGCTTTTGTGCACAAAAATAAGTAAATGGACCAAACAATACCCTTTTGCTGAGGAAAAGCATTTTCATTAATGTTTCTACTTTTCTCTTCAAAGCCAGACAGAACACTAATCAACTGTGAGACTTCTGAACCAGTTAGCCCCATTTGGTTTAAAATACTTGTATACTTGAAAAACATTTACTATTACAATACAGCAGCACTTTCTTACTTAACAAAAGCTCAGCACCAAGGATTTGCAGATTTTTTTTTCAAATAAAGCAGCAATTAGAATTAGACCCAAGCTACACAGGAGGGAAATCAAGAAACATTCCTCCCCTCAAATGAAAGTGGAAGTTTGAAACATTCCCCCAAAAGGAGCTGGATCAACTGAAATTTGTTCACTGATTATGACAGTTTTCTTTATTTGTCAGGGCATCAGGGTCATGGATCAAAAGGTAGGTGAATGTAGTTGAGGTACTGATCAGCCACGATGTGACAGAATTGTCTACTCCTGCTCCTATGTTAATGAGTCAATATGGCAGGTTGTGAAAATAACAGGAACGTCCATGTGGTGTCTTTTATATCGAAAATAATCCCATGACGCTTTGCAGAATTTGACACTGAGCAAAAGGAGATGTCAGCAGCAATAATGAAAGGGCTTTGTCAAATAGGTAGGTCTTACGCCAAGACTTAAAGAAGTAGAGGGGTCCAGGGAGAGGTTTCACAATCAGGTCATAGCAGTAGAAGGCACAGTCAAGAAATGGTGAGATGATAGAGTGGGGACAATGCACAAGAGGCCAGAGATGGAGGAACAAAGAATTCTTGGAGAGTTAGTTATAAGGCCGATGGAGGTAAAAGAATGGGGAAGGAAAAGTTATGGTGAGAAGTAAACGCAATAGTTTTAAATCGGAGAGGTGTAAGTAGGCAGAAGGGACAGGTACAGGATGTGAGGTTGGAAGATCACGCTCCATAGGATGCCAAGGTTGCCAGTCTGTGGGCAAGCCATGGAGAATCAGGGGGTGAAAATGACTACTTTGAACTTCCCAAAGTTTATAACCACAGGAAAATGCAGTCATCAGTTCTGTTTGTCAGAGGATCATTCTGGCAGCATTAAACAGCTGAGAATGGTGTTAGAAGGTTATATTTGGAACTTGCTCTTGAAAGCAGTGCCAAATGGCAGCAAGTAATTTCTAAAAGGTAATTACCGTGAGGGAAAAACATTGTGTATCTAGATGGGAAGGAGCCAGTGCAGACATGATGGGCTGAATGGTATTCCTTTGTGATTTAAACCAGGTCATAAGAAGGGAAGCCATCCAAAGGTAGACCCTTGAGGACTTCAGAAATATGGTGCGTAGATTGGAAAGGAGGTCATTGATGGAAAATGTTCTGGTGACAACAATTCTTTTTATTTATTTATGATTGCCCATCCCTAATTACCCAGAGGGCAGTTAAGAGTCAACCACATTTCTGTGGGCGTGGAGTCACATTTAGGCCAGACCAGACGAGCTTTTGCCAACGACCAGCAATGGATTCATGGTCATCATTTGACTCTTAATTCCAGATTTTTATTGCATTCCACCCATAATCTGCCATGGCAGGATTTGAACCTGGGTCACCAGAATATTACCTGGGTCTCTGGATTAACAGTACAGTGATAACACCGTTAGGGCATCACCTCCCCAAATTGAGAGGAAGAGTGACACCAAGTAAACAAGGGACAGAAGAGGAGCTACATAAAAATGGGGTGGTCATCCATGTGAAAGGCCACAGAGCTCAAAAGGACAAGGAGGGACAGTGCCCAACAGTCAGCGATGACATAATTTATGACACTGCTGGCACTAAACTCTGCAGAATAATTGTTGCAATTTCAAATATAACCTGCCGGGTTTTGCAGTTAAATGTACTCATAAACCGGCTTGAAATATTGAAGAAATCTTTTGAACTGTGGCACAAAATATTATTGTACAGAATGATTAGTTATATCAATTACAGCAACATGTGAATCTGTTAGTACTGTAATACAATAACTGCATCACACACTAACTTTCTTGGACTTATAACGTTATATAAATATAACTTTGCTCCTTTAGATGCTACTTGCATTTATCAAAACAGGGCCAGCAGAAGTAGTACAGGTTTGTAACATAATTCCCAAAGTTGTTGAATGCCGCACAGTAGATGAGTTAATTCTTCTCAGGAGGTGTACAGAATGAGCTGCTAGAGAAAGTGGTAGAGGTGGTACAATTACAACATTTAAAGGACATTTGAACAGCCACACGAATAGGAAAGGCTTAGAGGGATATGGACCAAGGGCAGGCAATTGGGACTAGTTACTTTTGGGATACCTGTTAGGCATGGGCGAATTGGACTGAAGGGTCTATTTCCGTGCTGTAGGAGTGTGAAATATGAGGGAAAATGTTACCCAAGCCTGGTCTCGTGCACCTCCCAGGAAACATCAGGAATTCAATAACAAGTTAGCCAGTCTAGCTCAGTGGTTCAATGTTGAAAGATTGGAAGTTGGGGAGGGAGCAGCACAATCCAGTCTTGGCATTGCCAGTGATAAGAGATAACAAGGTGTAGAGTTGGATGAACACAGCAGGCCAGGTAGCATCAGAAGAGCAGGAAAGCTGATGTTTCGGGTCTGGACCCTTCTTCAGAAATGAGGGAGGGGAAGGGGACTCTGAAATAAATAGAGATGGAGGGAGGCGATGATAGAAGGTGGATAAAGGAGCAGATAGGTGGAGAGAAGATGGATAGGTCAAGGTGGTGGGCTGGAGCCAGTAAAGGTGAGTGTAGGTAGGGAGTTGGGATGGGGGTTGGTCAGTTGAGGTCAAGGAGGCAGGGATGAGGCTGGTAGGTAGGAGGTAGGGGTGGAGGTTGGTCAGTGAGGTGGGAGGAGCGGATAGGTGGGAGAAAGGACGGACAGGTTAGGAAGGCGGAGACGAGCTGGGCTGGTTTTGGGATGAGGTCAGGGGTGGGGAGATTTTGAAGCTTTTGAGGTCCACATTGAGCCCATTAGGCTGCCGGGTTACCAGGCATTGCCAGTAATGTTTTTTCAGTATATATTGGACCACAGAGTATCAACACGTGGATTTACACAACATTGTCCAACCAGTGAGTTCCCATTCTCAGACAGATACTGACACCAATGAGGTGTGACTGGAGGAGAAGCACTCTGATTACACCATCCTCCTGCCTGATCAGATCAAGTCCAGATAAGAATGGTTTAAAGGCTCACCTTTTCTGAACTGCATATTTTATGAAGAGGATGATGGACCAGTTAACAAACACACTTCAAATATTTCTTAGATATCCTGATAACTGACTCAAAACTAAGTGAATAACAGTGCTATTAATGACAGTATATTGACAGTCATAAACATGTATATACATTTCCAACAAGTGTTGTCTTTTTAGATTACTAATACTACTCGAGACTCGTACCAGAGCACAGTGATCCTTGTTATTTTGGCTGGTCAGGTCAGCAATAGTGGAGGAGATGCTTGGGCCTAGAAGAAGCTCCCTCTGATCTAAGTAGCACTGATGGATCTCGCTTAGTAGCTGTTGATACCTAATGGAAGATTAGGCCTGTATTAAATTTACTGAAATTAATACAATAAAATCATAAATCCCCAGTAACAAATCAGTGCTTTAAACGCTATTAAATAATTTCAAAAGTACAACCCCATTTAGATGTTTTCTTTACAAACAGTAACAGTCTCCATTCAAAGACATAGTGCACATTATGCGAGTTCCCTCTGTGTAATTTGCACCACTTCTTGTAAAGCATATTGTATTGAAAGTGGCTGGTTCACACAAAGAGCTAGTCAAAGCGTGTTCGCCCTTTTACAGCAAGCAGCAACTTCTCTGATCCTACAATAGCTTGAAAATTTCATAAACATTAAAACTGTAGAATTTAACTCAGAATCAGGGTTCAAGCATCAGGCTCTGATTGTAGGAGATGAAGAGAGATAGAGCCCAAGACAGGCACACAAACTGGAATGAAGACAAGGACACTTGGAGATGCACAAGGAGGAGATTTACTGCAAGGATTCCTCAGTCATGACTTAGTTGTCAACATCTTCAGCTTAAGCAATGACCTTCTCTCCACCAAACGGCAGAATGGGGATGCCAACTGATGATTGCTCAATGTGCCACTCCATTCCATTCACATCTACTCAGTTAACAATGTCGTCCATACCCTGACCTAGACATCATTTGGACTGACCCTGAACTACATTGAATGAGGAAATCACAGGATCAACTATACTTGTATTCATATGGAAGAAATGCTACTTAATAAGCTCAGTTAGTTCCGTATGCACCTCCTTTGGAAGCAATCCATGACTCTGCAGCAAGATCTAGACATTCAGGCTTAGGGTGTTAAATCACAAGTAACATATCACACAAGTGTTATTTCTAAAAAAAAAAAAAATTTCTAACTCCCTCCCCTTGTAATGTCACAACATAACCAGCAATTAATTCTTCACCTTGAAGACTATTGACCAGAAACTGAACCAAACTAAAGAAATACTATGGCTAAAACAGGTCAGAAGATTGTAATTTTATAGTAAGTGACGCACTTGCTGACTACCTAGTCCTTCCCACACTTTAAAAAGACAAAAGTCACAAGTATGGCGGATCACACTTGCAGCATGCAGCTCAAACACTCAAGAGGTGCGACAGTATCAGGAACAAAGCAGACAGCTTGACTGGCATCCCATCCACCATCAACATTCACTCCCTTCACCACTTACATACAGTGGCAGCAGTGTGCACCATTAACATGATGCACTGCAATGAGGTTCCTTCAACAGCATGTTCCAAATCTGCCAACTTCTACTGCCTAGAGGGCACAGTGGTTCAGTGGTTAGCACTGCTGCCTCACAGCACTACAGACCCGGGTTCAATTCCACCCTTTGGTGACTGCCTGTGTGGAATTTGCACATTCTCCCCGTGTGGGCGTGCGTTTCCTCTGGGTGGTCCAGTTTCCTCCCACAGTCCAAAGATATGCAGGTTAGGTGGGTTAGCCAGGGAAAACATAGGGTAATAGGGTGGATGCTCTTGGGAGGGTCGGTGCGGGCTCCATGGGCCACATTGTAGGGAATCTCGGATTCTATAAGTGGAGAATTTAAATGCTCATCTATCTGCACTGACCCATAAGGCAGCTGCAGATGTTTACAAGGACTTGCTCTAAAAAAAATGCAGAGTGAAATGACAATGGTTCCCTAGAATGATCAGGTATAGATAAATGCTGTTATTTTACCCAATATCCAATTGACTGAATGGATATAGGATCAATCTTTTGAAAATCAACAGCATTTCTTGGCAATTTCAAACATCCTATATTGTAATGAATTATCCAGGGCATGGCTCCTTTTAGAATCTGAAGTAGTTTCACATTAACCTGCCTCATCACACCTCTACTTCAAAAGTGATTAACTAAACGTAAAATACTTGGGGCAGTTCCAAGGACTGAAAACTTCCTCAGAGCCTTTCTAAATAAGGGTCCAGATCTGAAGTGTCAGCTTTCCTGCTCTTCCGATGCTGCCTGGCCTGCTGTGTTCCTCCAGCTCCACACCTTATTATCTCAGACTCCAGCATTGGCAGTTCGTACCATGTCCCCCAGGGACTGAAAAGATGTTTTATGATGCAAATTCTTTCATATGGAGAAACTGCTACTTGTTATTCCAATAATCAATCACAACGGTCAATACTTTCTCTGAACAAACATTTAATCAATAGTCAACTCCTGAAGGAGTCTCTTTCTGTGACAACCTAACAAAGTTTCACATGACAGTATTGAAGTCAAAGATGAACATCAGAATTACATTCTTTAGCTCACCACTCATTCAACACAGTGCATGGAGAACGTACTTACTCAGAGCTTTTTTCAGTCCTTTGTTCTATCTGCTCAATTAGACACTGCAAAAAAAAACACAATGGATGCTTTCAAATAGCAGGTTTGAGTGCAGTGATTAGAGAGATTACCATCGGTTGCATAAAAATAACATCCAAAACAAGGAACAGTTCCTGCATCATTTGTAAGATTCTCTCTAAATCCATCTTCTACAAATAGAGAAAATGTCCACAACTCTGTGACTGGATGCTCTGGCTGTGCTGTGAATTCAGAGACACCTGGGTAGCACAGAGAGTCCTGGCTGCCCAGCACATACTGTCTCAGGCTGTTGAGCAGCTGGGTCACAGCCCTTTATCTATAGTGTCCTAAATGGTTTACCCCTCAATCCTCATACGGTGACCTCTAGTTCTGGACACACCCACTATCGGGAACATCCTCCCTGCACCTACCCTGTCCAGTCCTGTTAGAATTTTATAAGTCTCAATGAGATTCCGCACCCCCCCACCACCCCATTCGTCTGAACTCCAAATTATCCAAATTATACTGCATCTGACATTGATTTGCCCACTGACCCAACCTGTCGAGATCATGCTGAAGGATCTCTGCATCCTCATCACAGTTCATCTTACCACCCAACTTGGTATCATCTGCAAACTTGGAGATGTAACATTTTGTTCCCTCATCTAAATCATTAACATATATTGTAAATAGCTGGGGTCTCAGCACTGATCCCTGTGACACCTCACTTGTTACTGTCTACTAATTTGAAAAGGACCCATTAATTCCTACGCTTTGTGTCCTCTCAACAAACCAGTTTCCTATCCATCTCATTACATTTCCCCCAGACCCATGTACTTTAATCTTGCACATTAATCTCTTATGTGGAACTTTGTCAAATACTTTCTGAAAATCCAAATGTACTAAATCAACTGGCTCCCTCTTATTAACTCTACTAGTTACATCTTCATAGAAATCCAACAGATTTGTCAAGCATGATTTCTCCTTCAGAAATCCATGCTGACTCTGTCTGATCCTACCACTGCTTTCTAAATGTTCTGCTATAAAATCCTTGACAATGGATTCAAGAATTTTTCCTCCACTACCGAAGTTGGGCTCACCAGTCTATAATTCCCTGCTTTTCCTCGACCTCCCTTTTTCAATACTGGAGTGACATTAGCCACCCCTACCATCTGCAGGGGCTCTTCCAGAGTCTATAGAATCCTGGAAGATGACCAACAATGCATCCGCTATTTCTACAGCTACTTCCTTAAGTACTCTGGGATGTAGATTATCAGGCCCTGGGGATTTATTGGCCTTAATCCCAACAAATTTCCCAGCATCATTTCTCTACTAATACTGATCTCCCTCAGCTCTTCCCTCTCACTAAATCTTGCATCCTCCAACAGTTCTGGTATCTGATTTGTGTCTTCTTTTGTCAAGACAGAACCAAAGTATGTATTCAGTTCCTCAGCCATTTCTTTGTCTTCTATTATACATTCCCCTGTTTCTGTCTGTAGAGGACCAACATTTGTCTTTACCAATCTTTCTCTTCATGAACCTATAGAAACTCCTGGCGTCAGTCTATATGTTCCCTGCAAGCTTAGTTTCATACTCTTATTTTCCCCTTCTTAATCCTTTGGTCCTTCTTTGCTGATTTCTAAACTGCTCCCAACTGCAAACGATTGTCAGATTTATTATTTTTCTTGGCCAACCTGAATGCTTCTTCCTTAGATCGGATACTATCTCTTATTTCCTTTGTAAGCCATGGATTGTCCCTCTGGTCCATTTTGCTTTTGCCACAGACAGGAATAAACAGTTGTTGCAGTTCACCCATGTGTTCCTTGAATGTTTGCCATTGCCTATCCACTGTCATCCCTTTAAGTTACTCTCCTCAATCTATCAAGGCCAACATGCCTCATATTCTCATAGTTTCCTTCATTAAGGTTCAGCACCCTAGTCTCTGAATCAACAATCTCAATCTCTATCTTGATAACAAATTCTATCATGTTTCTGTCACCCATTCCCAAGGGGTCTTGCACATCTAGATTGGCAATGACTCCCTTCTCACTACACAGCACCCAGTCTAAGATGGCCTGCTCTCTAGTTGTTTCCTCCACATATTGGTCAAGAAAACCATCTCATATACACTCAGGAATTCCTCCTTTACAGCATTATGGCTAATTTGATTTGCCCAATCTATATGCAGATTAAAATCACCCATGATCACCAATACTCCCTTATCACATGCATCTCTAATTTCCTGTTTAATGCCATTCTCATCATCGCCACTCCAGTTTGGGGGTCTAAATATGACACCTAATGTTTTTTAACCCTTGGTATTTCACACTGCTTCTGCTGTTCTCGAATTGCTCCGTCCTCATTCTATGGTTTTCTCTCCCTGATTCTTTTTACTTTTTTCTTTATTTTCCCCTGCATGGCTCTTTTCCCACCATGATGCAAGCGTCTACAGTACTGCCCTTTCTCTCCGCTCTTTATGATGTCTCTTATCTTTTCTATACAGTTCCAATATTATGGAGACTTGACAGGTAACAGGCCTGAGAGACGAGATCCAAGAATAGAGGTATCTTTCTCTATCCATCTATTTTTGATGAATTAGCTGGTAGATAGTGGCTTTTCTACCAAGTTAGGTGAAACTGTGATGTAAACCACAGTGATAAAGCACCTAACTTCCTCCAGATACTACAGATTATATAAATGTCTTCATTTCCACAATGCTTACCCGCACTTTTGGAGCTGCTGCTCTGAACTTCACATAGAATAATGTAAAGGCATTATCGGTGTTAGACATAACTGAGGGGTCCTGTCAGAAAAGATAATGCAAAATTACAAATAGTAAATAGTTCCCTTCCATGGTCAGGAAATACCTTTTGTTGTAACTGGATTAAAGTTCTGCCGAGGAATGTCAAAATTCCACTGTATTTTCTTCAATTACTATTTTGTACTTGTATTTACTTACAGATAATTTAAGAATAAAGCATATTTTTGCAAGAAAAAAGGTAAAGATGCTATAGTCTCAGAGGGCCCCAGGGCTGCTCTCTAATTACACAGTCACGACTGATGGTGAATTTAACCTGAGGGTTGCCACACTTCAGGCAAGGGGTTAGTTGTGAAGGCTAGTTTCTCATGGCGAATCCAGCCAGTGTCGGAATTGAACCCATGCCGTGGGTGTTACTCCGCATCACAAACCAGTCGGCCAACCAACTGAGCCTACTGGCTGATACACCAAAAAAGCTTCCCATGTAAACCAGATGAACACGTATTAACATGAAATTCCAACAAACAAAACATCACTGCAATATTAGTATTTTGAAGAATCACATTTAATCAGGTTATTAAAACTATTTCAGCAACACCCTTACCCTTTTTGTTAACTGAGTGGCGAGGTTCTGAAGCGTATTCACAGTGTAAGTCTTCATTAGGTGCATAGCTTTGGATAGGCATTGTTTAAACTTTGCTAAATAAACAGGATAATCTCTGAAGCCAGGCTGTAAACAAAATCATAATTAATGTTATAAGAACAGTTTAAATAAAGGCAGCATTTGATGACATTAGCACCTGCATTGCACTTTAATTCACATATGAGGGAAGAGGAGAGAAGAGGAGGGATAGGGGCCCTCTCCTTCCATGTCCCATATCCACCAGCTTGCTGCTCATGTCCTCACTCCCTGCTACTGAAAGCCTTTAGGAAATTATGCATGCTTTTTCTCTGTGCATGTGCAATATGGCTGTAAAGTCATGGGTGGGGGGAGAGAGAGGAGGGAGGAAGAGTGCTTTTTGTAGTAGTGCCCCTACCCTTGGACTGGGAGGCCCATGTTCAAGTCCCACCTGCGTCCCAGCCTGCAAAGATTGCCTAGACTTATAGGGATCAAGCAATTTATCCTCTAGATGGACACAGATCCAGTGACAGTCCCCAGACAGCACTAAAGTATCCAAGATAACAAGGTGTAGAGCTGGATGAACACAGCAGGCCAAGCAGCATCATAGGAGCAGGAAGGCTGACGTTTCGGGCCTGGACCCTTCTTCAGAAATGGGGGAGGGGAAGGGGGTTCTGAAATAAATAGGGAGAGAGGGGGAGGCGGATAGAAGATGGATAGAGAAGATAGGTGGAGAGGAGACAGACAGGTCAAAGAGGCGGGGATGGAGCCAGTAAAGGTGAGTGTAAGTAGGGAGTAAGGGAGGAGATAGGTCAAGGGGGCGGAATGAGGTTAGTAGGTAGGAGATGGGGGTGGGGCTTGAGGTGGGAGGAAGAACAGGTGAGGGAGGCAGGGACGAGCTGGGCTGGTTTTGGGATGCGGTAGGGGAAGGGGAGATTTTGAAGCTTGTGAAGTCCACATTGATACCATTGGACTGCAGGGGTCCCAAGCGGAATATGAGTTGCTGCTCCTGCAACCTTCGGGTAGCATCGTTGTGGCACTGCAGGAGGCCCAGGATGGACATGTCATCTGCGGAATGGGAGGGGGAGTTGAAATGGTTCGCGACTGGGAGGTGCAGTTGTTTAGTGCGAACTGAGCGTAGGTGTTCTGCAAAGCTGTCCCCAAGCCTCCGCTTGGTTTCCCCGATGTAGAGGAGGCCACAACAGGAACAGCGGATGCAGTATATCACATTAGCAGATGTGCAGGTGAACATCTGCTTGATGTGGAAAGTCTTCTTGGGGCCTGGAATGAGGGTGAGGGAGGAGGTGTAGGGGCAGGTGTAGCACTTCCTGCGGTTGCAGGGAAAAGTGCCGGGTGAGGTGGGGCTGGAGGGGAGTGTGGAGCGGACAAGGGAGTCACGGAGAGAGTGGTCCCTCCAGAAAGCAGATAAGGGTGGGGAGGGAAAAATGTCTTTGGTGGTGGGGTCAGATTGCAGATGGCGGAAGTGTCGGAGGATGATGCGTTGGATCTGGAGGTCGGTGGGGTGGTACGTGAGGACGAGGGGGATTCTGTTTTGGTTGTTATTGCGGGGACGGGCTGTGAGGGATGAGTTGCGGGAAATGCGGGAGACATGGTTGAGGGCGTTCTCGACCACTGAGTGGGGGAAGTTGTGGTCCTTGAAAAACGAGGACATCTGAGATGTATGGGAGTGGAATGCCTAATCCTGGGAGCAGATGTGGCGGAGGCGAAGGAATTGGGATTAGGGGATGGCATTTTTGCAGGAAGGTGGGTGGGAGGAGGCCTCAGTAAAGGGCTCACCTTTGTCCCCCTCCACCCACACATCAACGAATACCGGTCACGTTGGACATAGAGCAGTTTTTCTGCCACCTCCGCCTCCGCGCTTACTTCTTTAACCGTGAGCCTAACCCTCCCTCTACTGACCCCTTCTCCCGCCTCCCAATACACCCCCTCCTTCTGGACACCACCCCAAGGCCTCCTACCCTCCCTCAACCTCATCATCTCCAACTGCTGTCGTGACATCAATCGCCTCAACTTCTCCACCCCTCTCACCCACTCCAACCTCTCCCCTGCAGAACGTGCAGCACTCCGCTCCCAACATCACCATAAAACCCGCGGAAAGGGAGGCGCAGTTGTAATATGGCGCACTGACCTCTACATCGCCGAGGCCAGGCGCCAACTCTCCGACACCACCTCCTACCGCCCCTTGATCATGACCCCACCCACGACCACCAAAACATCATCTCCCAAACCATCCACAACCTCATCACTTCAGGTGACCTCCCATCCACAGCCTCCAACCTCATCATTCCCCAACCCCGCACCGCCTGCTTCTATCTCCTTCCCAAAATCCACAAACCTGACTGCTCTGGTCAACCCATTGTCTCCGCCTGCTCCTGCCCCACCGAACTTATCTCCACCTATCTTGACTCCATTTTCTCCCCCTTGGTCCAGGAACTCCCTACCTACGTCCGTGACACCACCCACGCCCTCCACCTCCTCCAGAACTTCCAATTCCCCGGTCCCCAACACCTCATCTTTACCATGGACGTCCAGTCCCTATACACCTGCATTCCCCATACAGATGGCCTAAAGGTCCTCAGCTTCTTCCTGTCCCGCAGGCCTGACCAGTCCCCCTCCAATGACACCCTCATTCGCTTAGCCGAACTCATCCTCACACTCAACAACTTCTCTTTCAATTCCTCCCACCTCCTACAGACAAAGGGGGTGGCCATGGGTACCCGCATGGGCCCAAGCTATGCCTGCCTCTTTGTAGGTTACGTGGAACAATCCCTCTTCTGTACCTGCACTGGCCCTAAACCTCACCTCTTCCTCCGTTACATTGATGACTGTATCGGCGCCACCTCGTGCTCCCACGAGGAGCTCGAACAGTTCATCCACTTCACCAACACCTTCCACCCCAACCTTAAGTTCACCTGGACCATCTCTAATACCTCTCTCTCCTTCCTGGACCTCTCTGCCTCCATCTCCAGCAACCACCTAGAAACCGATATCCATTTCAAGCCCACCGACTCCCACAGCTACCTAGAATACATCTCCTCTCACCCACCTTCCTGCAAAAATGCCATCCCCTATTCCCAATTCCTTCACCTCCGCCGCATCTGCTCCCAGGGTGAGGCATTCCACTCCCGTACATCTCAGATGTCCTCATTTTTCAAGGTTTGCAACTTTCCCCCTCTCAATGGTCGAGAACGCCCTCAACCGTGTCTCCGGCATTTCCCGCAACTCATCCCTCACACCCCCTCATCGCAATAACAACCAAAACAGAATCCCCCTCGTCCTCACGTACCACCCCACCACCCTCCAGATCCAATGCATCATCCTCCGACACTTCCGCCATCTGCAATCCGACCCCACCACCAAAGACATTTTTCCCTCCCCACCTTTATTTGCTTTCTGGAGGGACCATTCTCTCCGTGACTCCCTTGTCCGCTCCACACTCCCCTCCAGCCCCACTTCACCCGGCACTTTTCCCTGCAACCGCAGGAAGTGCTACACCTGCCCCTACACCTCCTCCCTCACCCTCATTCCAGGCCCCAAGAAGACTTTCCACATCAAGCAGATGTTCACCTGCACATCTGCTAATGTGGTATACTGCATCCGCTGTACCCGTTGTGGCCTCCTCTACATCGGGGAAACCAAGCGGAGGCTTGGGGACAGCCTTGCAGAACACCTATGCTCGGTTCGCACTAAACAACGGCACCTCCCAGTCGCGAACCATTTCAACTCCCCCTCCCATTCCGCAGATGACATGTCCATCCTGGGCCTCCTGCAGTGCAATAACGATGCCACCCGAAGGTTGCAGGAGCAGCAACCCATATGCTGCTTGGGAACCCTGCAGCCCAATGGTATCAATGTGGACTTCACAAGCTTCAAAATCTCCCCTCCCACTACCACATCCCAAAACCAGCCCAGCTCGTCCCCGCCTCCCTAACCTGTTCTTCCTCCCACCTATCCCCTCCTCCCACCTCAAGCCCCACCCCCATCCCGCCCCCTTGACCTGTCCGTCCTCCCTGGACTGACCTATCTCCTCCCTACCTCCCCACCTACACTCACCTTTACTGGCTCCATCCCCGCCTCTTTGACCTGTCTGTCTCCTCTCCACCTATCTTCTCCTCTGTCCATCTTCTATCCGCCTCCCCCTTTCTCCCTATTTATTTCAGAACCCCCTTCCCCTCCCCCATTTCTGAAGAAGGGTCTCGGCCCAAAACGTCAGCCTTCCTGCTCCTCTGATGCTGCTTGGCCTGCTGTGTTCATCCAGCTCTACACCTTGTTATCGCAGATTCTCCAGCACCTGCAGTTCCTACTATCACTAAAATATCCAATCCTAGTGTGGAGCACTTGAACTAAACGGTCTCCCTCTGTTCCTCATTAATGATTTAACAGGTTTAATGGAATGCAATAAAAATACAGGGTCTCACTGCATGCCCTATATTTGACAGAAAATACACGATTATACTATACATCAAAGATAAGACTGTGCATTTGAACTACATTTGACCAATAACATAGACCAAACTGTACCTCCAACAAATTACTTACATGCGATGACACATAGGTTATACAGTCATCTAACTTGGCCAGTGTAGGTATAAATCCTTCACTATTCACAGATAACGTGGGCGAATTCAATTTCTAGGATGAGAGCAAAATACTATCAGGATGTCATTTCTACTTTCGTTGTAGCAAGATTAAGACTTGAATGGAAGGGCAACCTAATACACATTTCCAACAGGAACGATTTCTTCTTGAAAGGACTTAAGTGGTTGATCTCCATTTAGATAGCTTGCTGACTCACACATTTGTATTTGGATAATGCCTGTTTTGAATATCTTTTGCAAAGCCACTAACTGATTCTCCAAAATGTTTTGGGAAATAAGTGAGACTTAAAACAAATGTCCTGAAAGGATGCAAATGCGGCATTAATTGAAACTTTCAAAACTAAGATCAATATATTTTGTTAGGTGACAGCAAAAGTATGAAAATAGAGATGACAGCAGCCAAGATTTTAACAGGATAATGCAAAAGGCTAAAAGAACTGTATGGCTTATGGCTGTTCTTGTCCTAAATATGAGCTACATGTGGAATTTCTAATATTGCCAGCAAATCTCCAGTTACATTCCTGGCAATGAATTACAAAACATGCTGCATTGTCATCCCCATGACCGTGATACAGTCCTGGTTCTGCCTGCTCCAGTCCATCATTTTTGATGCACAGTGTACATTTAAAAAAACTGAGATCAGAAAGTGAAAAATGCCTTTTGGTTGTGAAGACACTTAGAAGCTATAACCAGATGCCTTAGAAAATGTCGAGTTTGTTTTGGCGAAGTAGGCTTATCATGGTAAAGCAGAATTTATTGTGTTTCCCAAGTTGCTCTGAGGGTATTTTAAAAAAATCATGTGATGTACAACCGGAATCACGTATAGACCAGAACAGGTTGGTGAGGTTTGGGGCAGGAGACAGGAAAGAGATTGTTTCCCCTCAGGACATGGATAAATCAATTGTGCATTTCTCACAATCTGTCTAGAAGACAGGAGGAAAAAAAGCAGAGTCGAGAGCATACTTCCGAAGAAGAGATTCCAAATTCAAAAAGTTAATTCTGATTTTTCCTCCCCCCAGATGCTGCCAGTCCTACTGTGTTCCTCCAGAAATTTCAGTTTTTGTGTACCTCAAAATCAGAATGATGTCAAAAAGACAAAGTTAAGGGCATGCAGCGTTCAAAATAAGTAAGATGACCTAAAGGCACAGACAGAGATAGATACAGGGATACTGTTTAATTACCTTTATTGAAACATGGCTGCAGACTGAAAATTGAATATTCAACATTTAGGAAGGACAGACAAGAAAAGAAGGAAGTGGAGATGTACTGATAAGAAGGAATGGAATCAGTACATTAGTGAGGGAGGATCTCAGATTGAAAGAACAATGTGTGGAACTGTTTGCGTAGAAATAAGTTACAGCAAGAGACAGCAGGCACTGGTTGGAGTTATTTAAAGGCCACCAAATTGATGTGGTAGCATGGGGCATGGCATTAATTGGGATAGGAGAGAAGCATATTGCACGGTCAACACAGTAATCATTGGGTGACTTCAATCTGCATATAAACTGGGCTTATAAATATATATAACTGCACTAAAGCTGTAGACGACGAGACTCTGGAGTGTGTTAGGGATTTTGTTTAAGGGCAGAATGTTGAGGAGCCAACTATAGGACAAGCTACTTTAAGTATTGTATTATGAAATGAAAAAAAGATGGAATATAATTTGAAAAATGTGAGGCTATCTACTTTGGTAGGAAAAACAAAAATGCAGAGTATTTCTTCCACAAAATGCTGAAAATTGCAGATGTACAAAGGGAGCTAAATATCCTTACAGAAATAACAAGGTGTAGAGCTGGATGAACGCAGTACGCCAAGCAGCATCAGAGGAGCAGGAAGGCTGACGTTTCGGGCCTAGACCCTTCTTCAGAAATGGTCTAGGCCCGAAACGTCAGCTTTCCTGCTCGGCCCGCTGTGTTCATCCAGCTCTACACCTTGTTACCTCAGATTCTCCAGCATCTAAATATCCTTACAGAAGTCTAACATGCAGGTGCAGCAAGCCATTAGGAAGGCTAATGGGATGTTAGCCTTTATCACAATAGGGTATTGCAGAAGACTTGTTTCAATTGTGTACATGTTTGGTTAGACTGCACCTGGAGTAGTGTGCGCAGTTTTGGTCTCCCCTTACCTCAGAAAAGATAGTAATGCGATAGAGGGAGCACCAAAACGATTCACAAGACGTGTCCCTGGGATGGTGGGACCATCCTAGGAAGAGGGATTGGGCAAACTGGACCTGTACTCTCGAGAGTTTCAAAGAGTAAGAGATGATCTAATTGAAACTTCAAAAACACTGAGAGGGATGGATAGGGTAGATGCAGGCAAGTTAATTCCCTGTTTGGGGGCACAATTTAAACATAAGGTGTGGGAAAGGCAGCACTTAGGTCTGAGATGAGAAATGTTTTCACTCAGAGGGTTGTGAACCTTTGGAATTCTCTACCTCAGTGGGTGTGGAAGCTCAATCTTTGAGTAGTTTATAGTCGAGGTTGATAGATTTTGATTAACAACAATGCACAGATTATGGGGATAGGGTGAATAAAAGAAGTGTTCAATGATCCATTACTTATTGAGTAATGTGGCAGGATCAAAGGGCTAAATGACCCTCTCCTGTTCCTAGATTTCTAATCCAGGAACTTTCTCATCATATTTCTTCTACTTTCAGCACACAAAGAGGACAAATTCAATTCCAACACTTGACATGGTGAGATTTGACCTTGCAAATTTGAGGTCTCGTCACTATTAGAGAAACTGTGTTACTGGGCCCTTACTGCATAAAATCAGTCAAAATGTTCAGTATGCTTGAAGATTAGACACCTGAGAGTACAGATTCGAGGGGAGAAATGGGTTGGCAATTCAAGCACTCATATTGGAAAGTATCACGATGACTTAGAAATAGTAGACGGCAATGTTTTAACCAGTAAACTATTCCTCCAGCTGGAAATCCAAAGACCACAAGATTTTGTCCATCAGTTGGTGCTTTCATAAGTGTAGCAACAAGAAGGATATGACAGTACAGAACAGTGTTCACAATAAGTCGGACCACAAAATACTTACTGCGTTTATATTTTCTAATTCATTGAAATATGAAAGCTTCTGCTGAATACTCTCTGCGAGATCAACCAGCTCCGACTGTTGAGGGAAATACAATAAAAATGTGTTACAGCAGAAATCAAACCATCCACGTAAAGATTATGTCCAGCAACAGAACTCCTTTTACATTTAGGAAAAGTACACCAAAAGCCAGTCGGCACCTACGTAGCCTTCAATGCCACATAATCAAGCTTCACAGACCACATGAAGTGCATATTATGGATCTTCCGGCAGGGCTATAAAGTTTAAATCAGCATTCCTATTAACATGCAGATATTTCAAGTTGCCAATACTAACAAGGTCCTTAGGGTTGAAGTCAAAAATGACCTTGGGGAAGGGTCAAGGCAGACCTGAAAAGGGGAATGTCATGCATACAGTGGGGGAAGGGGGCAGTGTGTCAGGTAGCAGATCCTTTACTGTGCACCAAAGCTTTCTTACCTGTTCCCGCAGGAGCTGCTCACAAGCCTCATGTAGTGTTCCTGTCTTGGTGGACACAAAAAGGTACTGTTTCTGCAAAGACTCCAAGTGTAGCAAGGCTGTGTTGACATCATTCAAGATTGCGTCACATTGCTCCTGAAAGCCATATAGATAATCCCTCATTTCTCTAAGACAAGGAGCAAAAGAAAGTTACACTCACTGACATATAAAACCTTCAGCGTGATTAATCATCTTCAATGTGATTAATATGTACTCAAGCCAGCAATACCCGACATATAATACAGGAAAGTGAACCTGTGAAATATGAAGTCACAGTTTGATGGCCCTGTTCACAGTCACATATTCTGTACTTTAGCTCATCTTGTCACACAGCCTTTTAGTTCTTTATGATATATGGACAGATTTTGAGATTGGGATAAAAGCAATCAGTGCTGAATAAAAAGAGAGATTTCCTCTTAAAGTATTTACACAACAAGCATGGTGCATTCCCTCAACTTGAAATGATATGCCTTACCATAACCAGTGCAAACTATAACTCATCAGTGTGACATTTCCATTTCCCACACCTTGTGCCCATTCCAAGGCTACTGGGGGCAGATCACAAGCAGTTTTGTCTTTATGCACTCATGAGAAACAGGAACTAAACTTACTGCCCAGTTACATTTACTTAAAGGTCTAACCAGAGAAAAAGACTATAATCTTAACTGAAGATCCCAGAGTGCAAGAACACAATTTCAATCCAACGTCCAGGGCAGCTTGTTTGTATTGTTTGTTACAACGGCATTTATTTAAGCCAGTACGCTTTTAAAGGCATGTTCACTTAAGTTACTGACATAATGCAGTTAAAACATTTTATTGTTTCGACTTAACCGTGAAGCAAAGAGATTTTACGGCTTTCTAACTTCTGTAATATACATGGCCACAGTGACCTAGCATTAAGCAGAGACAAGTATTCCCCCAAATGGTGTGGTAGGTGAAGAGGGAGAAAGATACAAGTGTAAAGTGAGTGAACCATTTTGAACAACCCTCTCACCTCTGCTGGCAGCTAGTATTGAACATAAATGGATACGTAAGGAAAGACTCCACATTCCACCCCTTGGAGAAAAAAAGCAATGGAAATCCAGGAGGAAATATAGAGGGAAATTCCACTTCAGCAAAATGCAGTGGAATCACTAATTCATAGCCGGCATCCAATTTTACTGCTGGAACAGGGGCCCTAGCCAACGGCAAGCAAGAGGGAATATGTACCTGTATTTTGTTCCTTCGTCCTGATCCATCCGTGCCTGTATCTTAGAGAACCAGGTATAGAACTGAGAAGAGGATAAACAAACTTTTAATAATTCATTAATGATTCGCAATATCTTCCAAAGCATCTGGTTGACCACTCTTCCTTTAAAATGGCATACATCAAGGACCTATGTAAACTATACCAGAGAGCAAGCACATAATGGGACAAATGGATCTCTTTTGTTTCATAAGGTTTCATGAGACTAGCAACTGGGTCTACGAAGGAAGGGGCAACTTAGACTCGTGTCATCTCCTGTGACTGATCTATCCAGACATGGCAAACAAATAAAACTTTGTAATAGCTTCACTTTCCATTCCTGCATCTGTAGCTCTGGAGTTCCTAATGGTTCATCCTTGGCCACCTCCACCTCTCCACATGTATGCTGCCCACATCCAGATCTCCCTAACTACCACTCCTGTCTCTGTTTTGTCATGGTGCCTGGACAAGCAAAATTTTCTCCAATTAAACACTGGAATGACTAGAGTCCTCGTCTTTGGTCATTACCACAATCTCTGGATTCCATCCCTCCCCTTAACTGTGGCCATTTTAAATTTACAGTGCCTCATTAAGGCGATTGATGCTATACAATCAGATCATGTCAATAACAGCCAGCAATGGGGAAATGGTGGCATAGTGGTAATGTCAATGGAATAGTAAACCACAGGTTAATCCTTTGGGGACATCGGTTCAAATCCCACCATGGGATGGTGGAATTTAAATTCAATCAATACAATTCTGAAACTAAAAGTTAGGTTTAGTAACGGTGAACAATTGTTGTAAAAGCCCAACTGGTTTCCCCTTTGGGGAAGGAAATCTGCCGCCCTTACCTGGTCTGATCTACACATGACTCCAAACCCACATCAACATGGTTAATTCTTAGCTGACCTCTCAAAGGGCCTAACAAACCACTTAGTTCATGGGCAAGTTTAAATAAACAAGAATTGAACTGTATAAACTCGAATTTTCTGTGTGTTATTTTAATGCTTGTGTTAATCTGTTAAAATGAAGGAGAAAACCTAGGTAAGAGAAATACAAAAAAATATTTAGACTGGAGCACATGTAAATGAGAAATAGAGGGTATCTATGAATCTGAGCACACAGCTATTTGACAGCACTGAACACTATTCGCTACACCAGATCCTATTGTTTAAAATGATACTTGTTAATGCGCACATTTTAGGTCCTTTCTTTATTATTCTGTTGAGACAAAAACAGAACGCAATTATCCAAAGTTTAACTCTTTCACATCCTAACAACAAAAGCATCAATTCTGCGTGTGGCAATTGGTTAAGTACCTGCTGAGCAGTTTCGATTTTCTCATTTTCCATGTTTAAGGCAGTAAAGCCTTTGAGAAGAATATCTTCAGTGGATTCAGGAACTGCAGCTGTAAGAGGGACAGTGATGGATCGCGATGCCAGGCTGCAAAGGTCCTCTATTGGCAACTGTTGGAAAGGTAACAGAGTTTCAGCTAGTTTAATTATATACATAGCAAGCAAACGGTGGGAGAGGTCTGACACTAGACTAGCAACTGAGAGGTTGAGAGTACAAATCCCACCATGGCACTCACTCATGGCACCCAGGAAAAGTCATGAAACCGTCTGGATTATTGTACAAATCCAACTGACATCCTTTGGGAAAGGTTCAGTCCACACCTCCTGATTGATTTTTTTTGATTTTGATTTATTGCAGTCACAGTTACCCAAGTACAGTGAAAAGTTTTGTTTTGCGAGCAGTACTAACAGATCATAGCAAACAAGGACATACAGACCATGGGTGCTTAGAGCAGGACATACAGATTACAACTGCACAGGAGGTGCGCAAAGCAAGATCAACATTGAAGTTAGAGAGTCCATTCAACAATCTAACAATGGCATTATTGCCTCTTCATGGCTTTGGGTGAACCAACAGGTTGCTAATACAGTAAATGCTGTCTTTCAGCATTTCAACAATCCAAAAACAGATCAGTGCTGCTATAATCGACAAATATATGTGGAAGTGCCAGAGTTAGACTGGGGTGGGCAAGGTCAGAAATCACGCGACACCAGATTATAGTCCAACAGGTTCATTTGAAAACACAAGCTTTTAAGACTCCGAAAGCTTACGTTTTCAAATAAACCTGTTGGACTATAACCTGGTGTTGCTTGATTTCTGACAAATATATTGGTAATTGGTCATTTACCATTAATTTATTAATTACTTAGTGATGGTTATTTCAAGCTGACTTTAAGCAGAACATTGAAGGCTTGCTGTCAGCCAGAGGTTGAACAAGTTGATGTGACTTAGCTCACTAGGAATGCAGCATTTACACCACAGAACCGAGTCTCACAAGCCGAAAATTGCGGCATTAGTTTTACACTAGTTAAAATAACTTTACCCCATTCCCTTGTGTTTGGGAGGACTTGGCCGACTGGTAATATATGACTGGAGTGA